GGGTCATTCTTCGCAATATCCGGACTAAGGATACGTCGCGCCGGGATCGGAGAAGTATGCACAGCAAAACTGGGCATACCCACCTGAACCCCCCCAGGGTTTTGCACATGATGTGCCACCATCTGAGCTGCCTCTAGCACCACCGAGCAAGCTTCCATCGAAAAAGTAAATGTTTTGAAAAGAGCAGGCGTCTGGGATGGGGAGTTCGCAGAATGCGGAAGGTGTTGCAAAGGCGGGGTGAGAGTGGTGCGTCTCGACTCGAGAAAGGTAATAACAGAAGCAGTGGGGTAACGTTGGTGAGTGACCATGGTCGTTCCTTCCTCCATAAACAATTCCCCCTACCAAACCTATCGTGCATATTGATTGGTCATGAAGGGTGCCCTGATACCATACTGTCTCTTGGCATAGAATGCAAACTTCCAGACCCAGCCGATGCATAAACGCGTGGGAGACACCTGAATCCGCTGAAGTGCATAAGCGAGCAGCGAAAGTGGCCATGCTCACATGTCAGAGCTGCCTGCGCCATATTGCGAGTACACGGGGATGGTGGAGAGTGGAATCGAGAACATGGTCAAGGTTGAAGAAGACTATTTGATGCAGACAGTGTGAAGTGAACAGACGTGCGATTGGGTGTGTGCAGGACAATTGAAGGATCAAAAGGTTGCTGGGACAGGGCTAAGCGGCAAATGACGTACCGGGGAGGTCTCGAATTGCACGGTACTCAACAAAGTTTTCATTTCACGGCGATGCCTGCTAGCAGCGCAGCCCTAGCACCTGCATTTATTTATTATCATGTCTGATTCTCGAGGAATAAACCTTCACTACCGCCCATGTCGCGTTCCGTCACTTCCTGATCCGGAATATCCGCGGCGACCTACTTAGCTCCCGATAGCTACCCACTCCACTTCCCACTGAACCACGCCCGTTATCCAGAACCTGCTCCACTAAACCCGCTTAGGTCTGGGATGGTTCTTGCGTTCTAGCTTCACGTCTTGGATATTCTTAGTTGGCACAATGCCTCCCCGTCTGTTCTCGCGAGACGCGGGCGCTGGCGAGCAGCAGCTTCCATTCACCGGCGACCATGTCAGCGATGCCGAGTTCGCCCAGGACGCATCGCAGGCAGAGAGCGGCGCGCAGACCCTCCCGCGGCGCATCAGAGGCCATCCAACGACGGCTGGAGCGCTCCCCGGATCGTATACGCGCAACCCTATCCGGTCGTTCGCGCACCAGACGTCGCATGGCTTTGCCGGTGTGTAATAGAAGGGTCCTATCTGGATAGAAGCTGATTATTAGATAGACACGCCGCAGTACTCGTCGCAAGGCGTGCGCGAGAGGAGCTCCCAACTCGCCTCATACGCCCTCGACTCGGAAGACTACCAGGACCGTCCGCACCGTCACAGCTTTGCCGATACAGACACATTCACTGCGCGGCCCGCAGGCCCGCCATCAGACACCAACGAGGGGCGCACGTCGCAAGACTCGGGCCGCTGGACGGACACGATTGCAGAGGACAGCGAGGCCCAGACGCCAGACACGGTCATCGGGCCACAGCACGCCGACAAAAGCTTCTTCAGCCTCAAACTGAGTTTGGGAGCATCGGATGTGGTGGCTGGAGACACCGAGCGGACGCCTTTGCTCCCCCAGCCCAGACTGTCGCGCCTCGGCTCGCAGCAAAAACAGATGGCGGCCAAGACTCAGTCGTGGAAACAACCGGCCGCATCGGGTCTCACCCTACACGTGAAGAACACCTTCACTGCTGGCCGAGACCACGTTTTGGGCGTAGGCCAGTCTTTGACGAACCCTAAGAACTACACCAGGGATGCGCTCATATCTACCGCTCTCGGTGGCGTCCAGATCACATCGGCCGTGTTCCTCGGCCTGTTGCTGAACCTCCTAGATGCGCTGTCTTATGGCTATATCCTGTTTCCCCTCGGCGCCCCAATCTTCAGCAACACCGGCCCGGACGGTATCTCCATCTTTTTCGTGAGCTGTATCGTCTCGCAGCTCTGCTATTCCCTCGGTCTGTCCGCATTCAAGGGCGGTGTCGGCTCTGAGATGATCGAGGTTGTGCCCTTTTTCCACAAAATGGCATACTCCATCCTGGAGCAGATGGAAGGTAAACCCCCGGAAGCCGTCATAGCCACCACCATCGTTGCATACTGCCTCAGTTCCATTCTCACGGGCCTCATATTCCTTGCACTAGGCGCCTTCAAGCTCGGCAATCTCGTCAGCTTCTTCCCCAGGCACATTCTGATAGGATGCATTGGCGGTGTTGGCTTCTTTCTTCTTCTGACTGGCATTGAAGTCTCGGCTCGTATTGAAGGCAACCTCAACTACAACCTCGCCACACTGCACAAGCTCTTCTCCTCGGACACATGGTACCTGTGGACACTCCCGCTTTCACTCGCCGTCGTTATCATGGTGCTTCGGCGGTTGTCGAAAAGCCCCTTCGTCCTACCCGCATTCTTCGTTATCGTATTCGCTACCTTCTATATAATTGTCAAGGGCATTTTGCACAAAGACTTGGAGTCTGTTCGTAATGCAGGGTGGATCTTTGAGAGACCAGAAGTCGGCGTCAAGTTTTACAGGTTCTATTCTTACTTTAGTAAGTGCTTCGATAAACGTTGCAAAACGTACACACGCTAACAGGCTACCAGAATTTGGCAGCATAGACGGAGCAGCGCTTATCAGCACTATCCCGACCATGTTTGCACTTTCTTTCTTCGGCATCATCCATGTGCCTATCAACGTCCCGGCGTTGGGCGCAGCTGTGAAGGAAGACAATCTCGATGTGAATCGCGAGCTAATCGCCCATGGTATCTCGAACACCTTGTCCGGACTTATGGGTAGCATCCAGGTAAGAAATGCTTGAGAAACACATTCTAGCAACAAGCGACTGACAAACCATCAGAACTACCTAGTCTACGCAAACAGCGTCATGTTCATCGATAATGGTGGCAACAGTCGTACTGCGGGCGTCTTGCTTGCTGCAGCCACGATTGCTGTATGGGTAGCAGGTCCGGCCATGATCGGCTACATTCCCATCTGCTTGGTTGGCGCTCTTATCTTTCTACTCGGTATCGATCTCATGAAGGAAGCTTTGTGGGACACCTTTGGCAAGTGCCACAAGCTCGAATACCTGACCATCCTTGCCATGGTCCTCATCATGGGTATTCACGACTTTGTCGTTGGCATTTTGGTTGGTATCGTTCTTGCATGCGTCAGCTATGCTGTGCAGAGCTCTCGTCACCCGGCCATCCGAGCCTCGTACAGCGGTATGATTGCGGAGTCCACCGTTCGCCGTCCTCCAGCCGATTCTCGCTATCTGAACAAGGTCCGAGGCCAGATCCGCGCCATCAAACTCGGTGGCTTTCTGTTCTTCGGCACCATCGTCTCAGTTGAAAACTACATGCGGTCTCTCATAGAGGATGACAATTTTGAGAAGAACCCCATCAGCTTCATCGTCGTAGACTTTACGCACGTCACGGATGTCGACTTTTCCAGCTCGGAAGGTTTCCAGCGTATCAACCGGATCTTGAACGTAAAGAACGTCAGGATGATCATTTCTGGGGTTTCCTTCGCTGATTCGGTTGGTCGCGCCCTGCAGAACGTTGGACTGTTGGACGAAGATGGTGATGAAGATTCCCCTCCACCTCAAGTTTTCGAAGACCTCAACACTGCGCTAGAGTCTTGCGAGAACGAGCTACTAGAAGTTTTCCACAAGCACTGCAACCGGCATGCATCGAAGCAACAAACCACACCACCAATGTCCATAACCGCTGCAAGGGGCATATCTGGCAACGAGCCGATCGCTACCGGCGGCTCACCCACATCCTTCGGCGCCAGCTCCCTTAATCCCGTCTTCTCTTCGCCCCGCCGCGGTGCTAGACTGATCGCTGCTCGCTCCACCATGCGCGAAAGCGGCGATGACGCTCTCTCCATCCCAGACACTTCATCGCTGAGCACACAACCCGTGCAAACACCATCGCGCTGGCGAAACTTTGCCCAGCCCCTCAAAATTATCCTTCAAACCTTCGAAGACGTCTCATCCAAGAACGAAGACTTCTGGCATGCCGTCGCCCCTTACTTGGAGCGCAAAGAATACCCCGCTGGCACTGTGCTGTACTCGCGCGGCGACGATCCAGATGGCTTCTACATCCTCGAGAAAGGCCGCTTGCGCACCGAATACGCGCTCGACCAGGGCAGTTTCTTCGAAGTTATCTTACCCGGAACGACGTGTGGCGAGTTACCTTTTTTTTCCGAAACGGACCGTACGGGAACGGTGGCTGCAGAGAATGATTCCGTGGCGTGGTTGCTTACGAGGGAGAAGTACAATGAGCTGGAGATGCAGGAGAAGGAGGTTGCGACCGAGTTGCTGAAGGTGGGGCTCAAGTTGACAAAGGAGAGGATGGATGCTATTACGAGTTATGTGCTTGTTACTGCATCCTAATGAGATAGTAGTGTGGGCGAGTAGAGGGACTGTTGTAGGACAGATGGGTGAGGCGGATAGTACTGTTGCATACGTCTAGTTAGTTGTCGAGAATAAACTAAAAAAGTTTTTATAACATTAGCTCTATTTTATTACTTAGCACGAAGATGAAATTGAAAAAGGTTGGATGGTGATTCGTGCAGTTTGTCGTACTATTCCCATCTACAGACTTACAAAGAAGTAAAAAATATAATCGAAAACGTGTAGTCTTACCTCTCTCTCCTTCTGCTTGCTTGTTTGCTCTCGCTATCTAGTAGTACTACTGTAGGTATACACACATCCTGTTGCGCCTCGACCCTACTTCGGTCCGACTTGCACGGTCGCACCGAAGCCGTATATACATCTCAGCACCCACATCCATAACAATATAATAACATCACTGAGAAGAACCTCGTTACTGTTATCACCCGTATAATCGTACAGAAGCCTACCAACAACTACCTCTATTTATTCATCCCTACCTCCATGCACACATGCTCCAAAACATGCAAAAAAAGAACATAACACTTCATAGCTGAAGCTGGTTTCGATCCAGCGTCCTCCGGGTTATGAGCCCGGCGCGCTTCCGCTGCGCCATTCAGCTTTTTGTATGCTATTTTCGCTCCTGATGGAAAGACTTGACAGACTTGGGTTTATATAGCTGGAGATTGACGCAGTAGAGTGAGGGATAACGTGGTATAATGTGTGAGATAAGGGGAGGGAGGGAGAGTGAGGTGTGAGTGTTGGGTTTGGCTGGGTGGGTCTGACAAACGGGTACGGGTGGGTATGGATGACAGGATGGAAGGAAAATTTCTGATGGGAGTGAGTCAGAACCCCCCAAAAAAGGACATGTAATATGAACATGCACACTGAGCATTCAAACGGCGTACAGACGACACAAGAGAGAAATACATCATGTCTGAAGAGAAACGGCTGGAGAGATGAGCTGTTCAGCTGGAATGCGATACGATACTCAATCTATCAATTAGCAAAGGAACAATGGTATACCCACAAGCAATTAAACGCCCTGCCATCTCACTTCAAACCCCTGCTCAGCAATGCTGGCATTCCAATTGTGGTACAACAACAAAACGAAGTGTTGAACCAATCTCCTCCTCCATCATACAACCTCCTCAAGGACCACTCGCCTCACACAACCGCCCACTCTTACTCAACGCCGTCCCTAATCCGCGATGGATCTCGACCTGAAAGCCCTCAAAAGCCACCCTCTCCCCGTCAATACTGATGTACCCGTCTTTCTGGCCCGTGGGTGTGATGCGATAGGCTCTCACCTTCTGGTAGTTCACATGATCCTGATCGAAGAACTTGTTCTTCTTGATCGAGGACAACCCGTTGAGCGCTTTGAATGGGTTGATGTTGCCGGGGATACGGATGAGGTCAAGACAGCCGTCACAAGGGAGGGCGGCGGGGAACATGTTCGCGTCGGGCGACATGTAGGCGAGGTTTCCAGCGTAGAAGTTGCCGAGTTTGGGCTCGGAAAGAAGTTGCCATCCTGAGGGGAGGGCGTCATTGATGGTGCCGTACCTGAGGGCGGGCAGGCCGGCGTCTTGGGCTGGAAGGGTGCGGTCGTCGGTGTTTGGGCTGGGGTTTAAAGAATCGGCGTGGCGGGCTGCCTGCACCGCTGTCCGGTGGGCGGCCCGCACGGCTGGCTTGTTGTCGTGCACGACTCTTACGGCGATGTCAGCGGGGTATACTTTTCGGAGCAGACAACGCTTCAAAAAGCCCCAGGTGAAGCGTCCGCTACCCATCCAACGTAGGTTCTCTGTCGCGAGATCCACTTCGGCTACTATGCCGACGGCCTGCGAGAGGAACGAGAGCATGCGTTTGTCGCCTTGCGTGACCGAGGCCAGATCCAGCGGTGTCCGCAAGCCCTTGACGACTGCGAGTGCTGCGAGACTTGGGCTATCCGTCCCATTGAAGTTAAGGCTCATGGCATTGCCCGAACCGCACGGCAGTTGCGCAACAGCAATCTTGACCAGCGCTCTTGCCGCATCCGATCTCTTGCCCAAGCCATTCCAGACTTCGTGGGGGATGCCGTCTCCCGAGCAGCAGGCCACCACGTCGTATGCCTCGATGTCCATGTTCTGCGCAATGTCCACGCCGTGGCCCTGGCGCTGCGTATGTTGCACGTCCAGCTCGCACCCGGCTGCTGCAAAGATGGGTGCGATGAGCTTGGCGTATATATTTATCGCGCCACCCTTGCCGCCGAACGGATTGACGATGACCTTGATGCGTTTGCGCCGTTGCGATGCTCCGTATGCGCGGTCCAGCAGCTTATGTATCCATGCCCCTGCCAATTCTAGGTCGGGCTGGTCCAGTGTGTAGGCAATGCTGGCGGCGCGGACGGCTTTCTTCGATTCGGCATGCGCATACTGGATCGTGACCTGGCCGTCGTCGGAGAGTGCAGCCCAAAGAATGTTGTAGAAGGGTATTGAGCTGGTCTTCATGCCCACGATGACCAGAGAATCCGTTCCCAGTGTCAGCGAAGCGTCGCTGCTCACAGTGAGCAGGTCGGGGACATCCGGCGTCGGAGCATCTGGTTGCGCAGGTGCCATGGTTATTGATACGAGTTGTGGATGAAGATGAAGATGTGCGATAGCTGGGCCTGGAACGATCCGCTGTTCTTTTGTCGTGAATACAAGCTTGCGATAGGCAGGCCTGGAGCGATCTGCTGTTTTATTTGTAGTTTTCTTCTTGTTGTGCCCCTGCAGTTTTCCGTCGTAAGTGACAGAAGGCAGTACCTAGCATCGTGTGTTTGGCAACAAAGGCTTAAAAGGAGCGACAGACCACGCGAGAGGGCGTACTTGACGCGTATCAATGTTGACGGGTGCTAAACAGAAGGAACCAAGTGCGTCGGGTCCTTGCGTTAAGCCGAGGTACCAGTGGACCTGCGACGGAAAATCGCAGGGGTGTAACAAAAGCAAAAAACGACTAAAAGACCAACGAAGTACTCTGGCCGTACCTATCACCACCTCTTATTCACGAATCTCTAACCCTTAAAAGTTCCCCTCGTACGTGTGAGGATGCTGTAACATTTGAACAAGCCGCAACAGGCACCCGGCTATCGCGGGGAAATGAGAACCTTTTTATTCTCCCAACGTGAACCACAAGCGAACCGGCCACCCGATTTTACACCAAAACATCGAATTTCCGCACCTTTATATTTCGACGATCAATGGATGGATTTCTTTCAAAAATTGGGCATGAAGCTGCATCTATGCAATATTTAATATTTTAGAAATTCGAAGAGTTTTCTTTTGCAGTCAAGAAGTTGTTGAGCAAAAGCTTAAAAATCTTGAAACTCTCTCTCAACCCAATATCTCGAAAACTAGAATAGCTAGAGCTTAACGCTCTTAGGTTTTCAATGAATATATATGTTTAAATACTCTATTAAATCTTTAGACAATTCATACAAGTGGTTGTTAAGATGTGGAGGTGCAGAAATCTGTTTTTTTGGTGTGAAATCGGGTGGCCGGTTCTCTTGTGGTTCACGTTAACTATACCAGCACACGACTCTAGACCACATATCCACTCAACCTCCCTTGTTTTTGCAGCACTATTCCTGCTACCAGCGGTTTTCAACACCCCAACCCCCCAAAGATATTGAGCAAAGGTACCGGCCCACAGCCATGTTACAATGCCACAAGGCGTTTTGGAGAAAAGCCACAGCACATCGAACCATAAATCGACCATTTTCGAAGAGACGGCAGAATCCTCCACATGGCAGAGTGGTCTGCATCTTTGGAGAAACCCAAGCACATGAGTCTTATCATGCATGCTTTTAGACACCACAGAGAGACATCACAGATGCCAGTGTGTTTTCATTTTGGAGAAAGCGGCCTGGGAGACAAGACCAGCAGATTGAGCATGAGAAATCGTGTTTTGGAGACAAGAACGCGGAAAGACAGTCCACATGAATCATAGGCATACTGATTTTTTTTGTTGGATAACAGACCGGACTTTTAGAATAAGGAGTATGAATGTAGGTATACACACATCCTGTTGCGCCTCGATCCTACTTCGGTCCGACTTGCACGGTCGCACCGAAGCCGTATATACATCTCAGCACCCACATCCATAGCAATACAATAACATTACTGAGAAGAACTTCGTTACTGTTATCACCCGTACGATCGTACAGAAGCCTACCAACAATGAGAGAGGGAAGTGTGATGCGTGGAGTGGAGGGAGAATTTATACCTCCCTACCCGCCGTTAGCGGATATATAATGAGATGATAATGTGCCAAAATTCAGTTCTTGAGCGACCAATCGTTCTTCATGTATTTATTCCTTCATGATTCATCCTCTCATAATCGTTCACGCTCTTCACGACTTTTTACTCATACAAACGGTCTCTCGACACAACTCTGTATCATCCCCCGACTAGTCGCCTCATACTCCACTAGCTCAACCTTTCCATCCTTCTCCACGGTATTAGCCTGCACAAAAATCTTTCTTGGGACCTTCTTCTTCAGCACCGCCGGGCGGACCATGTTCTCGTAGAAAGGCTCCACATCCGTGATATCATCGTACATCCTCTTCGCAGCCGTAACATCCGCCGTCGCCTTGTAAATATGCAGTTTCTGGAGGTAAGCATTAACAGCCGGCCGGCCCAGATCCAGGATACGGTCGCGCTCAAGACGGACGGTAAGATCGGAGAGGTCGTCCTTTTCCCACTCAAGCTGGCAAAACTCTACACCCGCGTTGAGGAAAGTTCGGAGAATGGAGAAGCGGGCTTGCATGTGCGCCTGGCCCCATTTCCTGCTCTTCGGGTCCCAAAACTCCAGGGCTGCGATACCCGCACGCGCCATCTGGAGGTATGCCGTAAACAGCACATCACCAGCCTCACTGCTCATATCTGCCTTGCCCTCGCCAAAGCCAAAGAGTTGGAGGATAGGGAACTCGCACGACAGCGCCATGGCGACGCACTCGGCGCGGCATTCTTCATACGAGGCGGCGATGGTGCCGAAGGTTGAGCCCCAGGTCTGGCCGGGCTTGTACCAGTTTGTGATGGGCTTGCCGGTGAGGGGCGAGATGGGTGGGTTCTCCTTGTTGAAGTTGAAAACGCCGGGCTCGGTCTCTTGGAGGAGCTTGCCGCAGCCATGGCCGAGGAGCTCGTGCAGACCGACTTGGACTTCGAAGGCGGGGTCGCGGTACTTTTGGTAGGTGGCTAGGTCGCGCTCTTTGATGAAGGGGATAGACTCGTTGGGTGCTTTGGCGGAGAGGATGTTGCCGAGGGAGACGTTCTTGAAGCCAAAGTTCTGGCGGATGTCGTCGTAGTTGGGGATGTTGATGCCGGCTGGGATACTGCAGTCTGTTAGTGAGGTAGGTGTCGCGAAGAGGAAGATGATTACTTACCCGCTGCCAGCGAAAGTAAGTACCTCGAGCGAGGTGAAGTCAGGGCTAAGGAACTTGTCCTTTTCGAACGACTTGTCCCACGGCAGCAAGGGGATATACTGTGGCGCCGATTCGACCAGCTTGCCGAATGCTTTTGTCCGCTCCTTATTAACCATGGCAACGAAGCCCTCCCACTCGCCTCGGATGCCGTGCGGGTCGCGGTACGTCTCAATGAAGCCGATGTC